AATACCCTTAAACTACTTAAACCATAAAATTACCTTCATAAAATTGTTTGCATGATGGTAGAGGGGAAAGAATTGACCATGGTGGCCTTAGTCATTCAGTATATGATGACTGATATGGAAATGTATCGCACTTACCCAATAAGGAATTTGGAATGGTATGCACTTTTTTTCTTTTTTAAGTAGGCTCCATGCCTAACATGGGGCTCAAACTCAAGATCCTGAGATTAAGCATCATGTGGCACCCACTCTTAATGTACGGTGACAAGTGAGGTCAGAGAACCAGTTCCTGAGTGGCCCTTGGGCACCACACAGCTACCAAGATGGCAGCAGTAACATCACATCCATGCTAAACTTAAATATAAGCCCAACAGGTGCTATGAGATGTATTAGAGAAGTTACATTTATTTTTCATAACAGGTGAGCAGTATATTTCCATTGGGCTGTATATGTGCTGTAAGATAAGCTGTATAGAAATGGTACGATTTGTAGCGTGTGTTGACTGTCAGTAATACTTCCCATACAAGAATATACCAAGAATTACTTTGGTGTACATAGTAATAGGACTCATTAAAACACTGCATGAGCAAATTAGAATTAATGAGAAAATTTCTCAGGGAATAAACTTTCCTGCAAATAAGAAAGGTGGTTCTTTATTGACTAAGCACCCGTGGGATGTTGGCAAAAACCTTGTGCCTGACTGTCTTACTCCTGCCAGAGAGGTGGCCTTGATGGAGCTCTGTTCTTTTTAGACGTCATTGAAAGACATTTCTTGCCAAAGCCCTTCCCGACTGAGGTGGAGTTTATATAAGAGCTGTGACTCAGATGACCCTCATGTCAGAGGAAGCTGGGCACTAGTGCCAGCTCAGCCCCTTCCTGGCTCTGTGACCTTGACCAAAGTGGGTTCCCGTCTGGGGCAGAGGAGGTTCATCTTCAACTGTAAAATTCAGAGATTGAGCTGGTGAGCTGTTGTGGGGATTTGGGGCGTTTTCATTCATTCATCCATTCCATGAGGGTTCGCTGGACACCTGCTGTGCGCCAGGCACAAGTCTGTCACTAGGGGCTCGTTGATGACCAAAACCAGACCAGGGTCCTTGCCCTCTGGGGCTTAGATTTTCATAGGGAAGAATATTTGTTAATCAAATAGCCACACAAATGTGTCATTTCAACCTTGGTAAGTGCTGTGAAGGACTGGCAGAGCACATGAGGCTGGAGGGGTTTATAATAGGGATATTTATTCCCGCTGGGACGGAGATCAGAAGGGGCTTACAGTGGAGGGGGGCAGGCTTTGAAGGCCTAGGAGGTGCTGTGTTCAAAGCCCAGCACAGCTCCTCGGCCAGCCCCCTTATCTCTGCTTCTCGATTTCCTCGCTTCTACAAACGGGACTAACGTCAGCAACTGCTCACAGTGTTTGTAAGGGTTCAGAAAGATGACATGTTTCAAAGCACCCAGCACCTGGCAAATTACATTTCATTTCATTTCTAAGAATAGCTCTGGAAGCAGAGATGTACTGTTTTATACACAGGCTTTCAACTGTGGAGACAGAGCAAAACCAGCTTTCAGGAGCCCCTTTTTAAGACGTCTGAGTTCACATTCCACCCTGGAAGGCGCCTGGCTTCCCTTCATCGTGGAGCCATGTTAGAATCACTTGACCTTGAAGCCCAGGAACAACCTTGCTTGCCTGATTAAGTGACAGAGCCCAAGCTCTGGGGCTGGAGACGGTTAGGCCTCCCAGGCCTGATCTCTTGCCGTTTTCACGTGAGGAAAGGAGGCTGATCACAAACCACAAAATTGGAACGAGGAGGCAGCTCCCTACCCCCATGGTCCTGTGCTTTTCTATACTGCCTCTCCATGTTCCGTTTGAAAACTACGGACATTTCGGAGGTGACTGGCTACCCATGAGTGCGTGTGCACTTCCTTCTCAAGAGAAAGCAAGCTTATCACTCCCTCGTGACTCCTCAAGGCCTGAGGGTTACTTCTGTAATCTCACAAAAGCAAACAGGAGGACAGAAATAACCCATCAATTTTTAAAAGTTAAAATGGCCAACAATAATAAATCATTGCCACAACAGCTTCGGTCAGGGTCTTCATTTATTGGAGGCCATTCAAGAATTTGAAGCTTTTTTTCCAAGTTAATTTTTCACATCTTGTTTGGATCCTTAGAGCTCTTGCTTCCAGAAGCAAGGCCATCAGATCTCTCGGTGCAAATGTTATTCTTGCTGACACGCCAGGCTTGCGGGAGAGTGAGGTCTGGTCCTCACGGATGGGTAATGAGGATTGCTCCCCACAAAAATCTGTACTTCAAAGTGTTACAGCCTACTGAGATTTGGGATATTTCTCTTCTCTTTCATGCTATATTCACTATATTAATGGTTACAAACAACAATAAGAATGTGCTGGTTATGCAGGAAAGGAAGTTATTAGAAGGACATGGGCCAGTTCAGAGCATAGGCAGGAAGCCTGCGGAACCATTGTGGACAGGAAACGGGAGATAAGTCTTAGCTCAGGAGGCCCCCTCTGGGTTCTCAGCACCTCAGTAGCCACCTCAGGTGATCTCAGAGGGTCCTGGTGTCTGTCTTGCCGAACCCCTCAAAAGTCATGGCCCTGGCTGGGAGCATCTGCTCATACTGAGGCCACATGACTGCATCTAGTCAGGTGTCCACACTTTAGCTATCAGGAAGGGGGAGGGGGACGGTCTGCCCCTTCTCTCCTGATGTGCCCTTCCCACCTATCTTGGGATTCCTCCTAAACAGGTGTCATTTGTTATTATTTTATATTATACTTTATATTGTTAAGTAAGATATTTATATTATTATTATTATTATTCTTTTGCTGAGCAGCCAAAAGTACCAACTGTCCATTACACAAACCCATGTAAGCTTAATCACGTCACGTCATCCCTTAACTGGTTGGCCAGAGATTGGCTACCAGTGTGAATTTACTTTGTCCGCAGCACACGTCACATAACAGTCACGCACCTTGTGTGCATCTTCCTCCCGTTGTCCTCATCCCCTGGTCCCACTGATGGCCCGCCCACTCCCCTACTTGCCGGGGCTCCCATTTCCCTCCTTCTTGCCCCTCAAACATTCTCCTCCTCCTCTCCCTTCCCGGTCTTTAGCCCTACTTCTGTTTCAGTGCAAAATGGAAGCAATCCCAAAGGCGCCTCCACTTTGTCTCTAACACCCGTCTCCTAGTGCACCTGTGCCGTGGGGGCCAGCCCCTCCGCTTGTTCACCAGGCCATCCGGCCGTTGTTCTCGTGGTACCCCCTTCCCTATGTTGTGCAAGTATAATGTGATAATTTCCAACTTAAAAAAAAAGAAAACAATTGCCTGGAGCCCGCCCCCCATCCCCACCCTCACCCCATTTCTCTGCTCCCCGCTACAGAAAAATAACTCCGAGTAGTCGGGTGTCCTCGCTGTTTCCATTCGTTCTGCTCCTCTGTCTCATAAACCGATTCCGAGCTTCCGTCCCTATCACTCCGCTTAAGCGGCTCTTATTGTGATCACCAGTGTCCTTCAGGTGGCTAATTCCAGTGGCCAATCCCACTTCTTCATGTTACTTTGACTGACCTGCCACATGTGCCACAACGGATGACTCCTTCCCTGGAACATGTCTTCCGTGGCCACTTAGAGACCGTCTCTCTTGCTTTTCCGCCTGCCACGCTTGTCAACCTTTTGCTTTGCCTTTGCTGGCCCTCCCCATCTGCAGTTCCTCTTCTCTAGCTGCACTCATTCCCTAGTGATTGCGTCCCGTCCGTCCCAGGTGTGTACCCCAGCCCAGACCCTCCTTCAAGACTTATGCATCCAGCTGTCCAGCACCTCTTCTCAAAGACCCAATGGGCGCTTGGATTTTTCTGCTGAACCTTCTATGCCTGTGGCCTTTCCCATGTCAGTGAGTGATGACTCTTCCCTCCCAGCTGTTGAACCTAAAATCCTTCCAGCCGTCCTTGACTCTTCTCCCTCCCCAAGACCCCGCAGCCAGTCAGTCTGTTGGCCGGCAAAACCTGTTGGCCATAACCTTGGAAACCCGTCCAGAGCCCGACCTCTTCTCACTCCCTCAGCTTCTACCACTGTGGTTTGAGCTGCCACCTGGTTTATTGTGAGAACTTCCTAACTAGGCTCCCTGCTCACCCCGACCATGTACTCCACAGACCGTTCACGTCACAGCCAGTGTGAGCCTTCAACCATGGAAGTTAGGTCCCACCACTCCCCTCCTCACACTACTACAGGAACTTCATCTCAGAGTCAAACCAAGGCCGTTGTACTGGCCCCACAGTACCCCATACGGTCTGTCTGCCCCCACTGCCTTCATCTCTCTGAGCCTGCTTCCTCCCACACTCCCCCTTGCTCACTCCTCTTAGCCGCTCTGGCCCCTGTGGCATTTCTGGAACACGCCAGGCCCGACTCGCCAGTTCCCATATATCTATATATCTTGCTCCTTTTCTCCCTCAGGTTTCTACTCAGAGGTCACCTCATCAGTGAGGCCTCCCCAACTACCCTAATTAAAATCCGAACCCACGCTTCCTCCCAATCGGACATTCTCTACCTTTCTTCCTCTCTGAATTTTCTCCATAGTTCTTATCATGCTGTATGTTTGCTACTTTGTATACGTTTTCTGTTTCCCTGAAGCCACAAGAAGGCAATAACTCTAGCACATAGATTCTTCTAGCACATAGATTAGCAGTAATTGGCATTTAGTAGGTGCTCAAAAATATTTGAATGAATATATGACCAAATTCCATGTCTAAGGAATTAAATGTCATAATTTTCTGAGTTTGATGTGACCCCAGAAAAGCCTAGTGAGTTAGGCTATTAGATGAGGAAACTGAGGCCCATGGGTGCTAACTGCTTACCCGAGGGTACATGGCCAGTTCATGGATTTCCTGGCACTTGTTGTTCTGACCCCAGGGAGTCTCTGCCCCCGACCCTCAGCCGCCCTCTGATGCCGCATATGCTGTTACGAAAGCTTCAGGGCATTCATTGCTGTTTACTTTTCTTTGCAGCGTTGATGAGAAAACCCCGTATCTAGCTTTGGGAGCTGTGAAGAATATCTCCCTGAACATCTCCATCTCAAACCTTGGGGACGACGCCTATGATGCCAACGTGTCCTTCAATGTTTCCCGGGAGCTCTTCTTTATCAACATGTGGCAGAAGGTAAGGAAGGCACCCCCCAAAAGTGACCCTTCGTTCTGCCTCGTGCATTATCTGAGTGTCATTCTGCAAAGACTGTTTCATTACACGGGGTGTCATTTGGAACTGTGGGAAATTTTTCCTCCCGGACATGGAAGGTGTGTTGGGACAACCAGAGAGACTAAATACCTGCAGGGTGTTGGAGCAGTGTCCATACCTAACATTGTCTCCGCCCATTTCTCTTGTGGAGCCCTGCCCCTACTCTTTTATGTCTGGCCACCTCTCTGAACACTCGCGTGTTCTGGAGAGTTCCAGTCTTACATCAGTAGTTGTGAGGAACGAGATAGGAAATGAGGACAGCTCACTGCTTGTTATCACCACTGGTGCTCTTGACGTTTCCCATTAAAGAGTCATGTAGGTCAGCCTACGCCTTGGCATGTTCATTTATGATAATATTTGAGTGGATTGAGGAAATTAGATTACTTTCATGAATTGAGTAAGTTTTTCAGCAGGAATTAATTTAGCTGAATGAATTGAGGTTTAAGTAGAATGACTCAGAAAGGAAAGAGGAGTTGGTATTCTCTCCCGTCCTGTAAGCCGACTCAGTGAACCACCCATGGGAAGAAGGAAGAACAGGCAACAGGCATGAGTGGGCTCAGGCAGGCTCTCCCTTCCCAGTGGTTGCTCTGATTCTTGACAGCAGTTTTGAAGGCAATTGCTGTAGCTTTTCCAAGTGTTTACAACATGGAACTGCAGCACCTTTATGTCTGTGTTAAACAGAACCAAAATCACTTTGTGTGGAACAGTGTGCCCTGTCCACAGATGAGCACGGGGCGCACCTTCAGGCCAGTGCGAAACCCTCTTCAGACGCAGACGCTGGCAAGCTCAGCGGTTCTGACAGGATTGCACCACCCTTGCCCGGCTGAGGCAGCAACTGAAGGCTACAGAGGGGTCTGGTGATGCCGCTCCAGGAGCTTTATAAGAGGTTCTCTCAGATCTCTGCTGCTTCACAGCTTTTAGCGGCGCCAAGGTTGGGAAGGTCACAAAAGCAATCAAGCAGGACTGTGGGGAGCACACAGGCCGCATCTATCCTCTGTAGCCTAAAATCATGCTAGTTTAAGCCCAGTCAAGAGAGAACCAAGTATCCCTAGGGTTCTAGTGGGTCTCTGGCTCCACACAGAATCTCTTTCACAGGACTTCCTGTAGGGGGTGGGGCGGGGGCAGGGCTCAGTCAAAGACAGATCTGTAAGCTCCTCTCTGTGACAGCTGAAAGGATGTGGTTGGTGACTGGGTCATCAGGTTGCAGATTCCTCTTGCTCAGGACCCACCTGAGAAACTTCTCTCCGGTCACAGAATTAGGAATGGCTGTGCTTTCCCCAAGTACTTTGGCTTATTTTTGCCTACAGACAGTCGTCCTTGTGACTAAGCTGTGTTCTCTGTGTTGTCTGCTAGAAGGCTGAGAGCTGGCCCCACTCTGTCGGCATATAGGATTTGGTAGTATTATTTCATAAACTGTATAGCTTCCTATATCTTATTTACTTTCCCTCATCACAGGTTTCTTTTTAGTGTGGAGGCTACATAATATTCTGTCATAAAGTATTCTATGGAAATCCCTCAAATTTCTCTTATGTAGATATTTCATTCTAGTTTTATTGTCTTTAATACTGTGATGAGGGGCGCCTGGGTGGCTCAGTCCATTAAGCATTCAGCTCTTGATTTCGGCTCAGGTCATGATCTGATAGTTGGTAAGATTGAGCCTCGTGTCAGGCTCTGTGCTGAGCATGGAGCCTCCTTGGGATTCCCTCTCTCCTTCTCTGTCTCTCCCTCTCTTGCTCCCCTTCTCTCTCTGCCCCACCCTCTCTTATGTGCATGCATCTGTGCTCTCTCTTTCAAAATAAATTTTTAAAAGATATTTTTTAAACAATACTGTGATGAATGTCTTTCACAGAGATTGCTCTGAACAAATGATTTGCCGTTAGTCTTGTAACTCTTTGGGGGATGGGTCATAGTGGTGATTGACCACCAACTATATACCAGGGGTTTCACATGCATTTTCCCATTCCCTCCTTACTGCATCAGATGTGGGTGCATCTGCTGTGTTGGAGGAATGCTGCAGGGGAGAAGTGAGGGAAGCAGGACGAGGCAGGGAAAGGGCTGCGTAAGGCGGTGCTGGTGTAAAACATAGCCTTGGTCTGAACGATAGGGTGGAAGGAGGTGGAGGAATGCTCAAGAGCATCAGTCACTCAGCAGAATCGTCCCCTCTTGAAGCGGCAGGAGAGCATCGTTCCCACCCCTGCATCATCCGGACCACCGTGAGGGCCAGTCAGTAGCCCCCCAGGCATTCTGGGTGAGGGACTCTGGTCAGGCGAGGACAGTGTCCCTGGGAGGGCCACAGGCGTGCCATTAGCTCCTACGGCCGATCATTTTTATCGCTTTTCGGTTGATCCCAACAACCTTTGGCACAGGGAGCCCTAGTTTCAATTTGGCAGAGAGTTGACTGGGCTTCAGGGTCTCTGCTGGACGTGGGACACGTTGGCCTGCGAAAGGTGGCCGAGCACGGAGACGTCGCGCGGCTGTCGTGGGGCAAGAGCAACTAGAACAGGGAAGGTGACCCTCCGTGTGGTGGGAGGGGGTAAAGAAGCATCAGTTCCTCTCCCATGACCGCAGCGGCACGTGGAGACCGAAAGGGCATCACTCGGCCCAGAGCAAGGCTCTAACAGCACCCAGATGGGTGGTAAAGAGGAACCCAGAGAGCCCAGCCACCTGCGTGGACCTAACAGAACGACACGGGCCCTGCAGTTTCTGCCACATAAACTAAGAAGAGTGTAACTCAGGATCCAGACAGAAAACATACCCTTTAGAAAGATTATTAACAGAAAACGGAAATTTTACAGAGCACCCACTTTTGTTATTGATGAAATTCATGAAAAATATGAGCACAGCAAAAGATCAGCGAGTAGAATGATAAACTGGGATGACAAAGGAATGAACTGAGAGTCAAATAAAAATCAAGGTTGTGGAGGGGATGAGGACATATAACAAAACCAAGAAAGCAGAGGCAGAATTAAAACGTGCTATAATCAGGAAAGAGCAGACTTAGTAGTATGGAAACCTGATTCGTTGTACAGAGCATTCATGAGATGGTCTCTGAGAATTCAGAGGGAAAAGAAAAAACCAAAGCAGTGAAGAAGGATGGCAAAAACCACGCATGTGGAAGGTGGAAACTAGAGAATCAGCAAAGAGAAATAGCTCCCGAACACTTGGAACGGAAGACGTGAGTAGAGACCAAGGAAGGGCCTCCGTTCTCTGGACTGGGCTCTGCAAATACCAGGCAAAAATATGACGCTTTATGTCAACACACAACTTTAGGAGATTTTTAACTTTTAAAATGTGAAAATGATGCTACTGATACCTAACAGGAAACAAACCAAAGTTCCATAGATTTCTGTAACAGTATTAAAAAATTAGAATAGGTTCTTGTTAAATAAGAATTCTGTACCCAGTCATCTTGCACTCCATTGTGAGAGCAAAATGAAGCCATCCGTGAATATATGAAAATGTATAAAGTCTGGTAACGCTCCTAGTCTGGGTTTCCCCCAAAGCAGACTCCAACATAATGACGTAGGTACAAGTAGTTTATTTAGAGAGAGAGAGAGAAAGAGAGTGTAAGGGGCACCTGGGTGGCTGAGTCCCTTAAGCCTCTGACTTGGGTTCAGGTCATGATCTCACAGTTCCTAAGTTCAAGCCCCGTGTGGACCTCCATGCTGACAGCTCAGAGCCTGGAGAGAGGGCAGAGGAAGAGGGACGGGCGCCCTCCAGGAGGTGGAAGGAGGCTGCCCCTGTGGGCCTAACGGCCAGCGACGCTCCCGGTGGCAGGGTGACCTCTAGACATCTCAGGGATGCAGACGCCTGCCGTCCTCTGCTGAGCTGCCCGTTAGCACCCCTGCTCTCGGGAACGCGTCGTGGGACCAGACACAGGAGCTCAGAGAAGAGGCGGGGCTCATGATCACGTCTTCATGGCAGTGACTGTCCCGGCTGCATGGGAACAAGGACACGGACAGTTGTGAGCTTTAAGCAGTGAAGAGCGCTCCCAGGTGACCTTAGGGCCCAAAGGGGACGCAGTGGCTGGCCACGGAGTTACAGAAGAGGCTCTGCTTGGCAAGAAAGAAGAACGAGGGCGGGTCCCTGACCTTGCCTCTTCTCTACAGCATGAGCGCTCTCTTGGTTTGGGTCTTGCAGACGCTGACCTTGACTCGGGATGGAGGGCAGCTGGTTTGTGCAGCATGGGAGGTGCCAGACCTGCGGGAGGGAGGCGGAGCAGTGGCGGACGGGTGGAGGCAGCTAATGAAGAGGGTCCCGTCAAACCAGGTGCCGCAGTGGGCAGTGGGGCGGATGCCCAGGAAACAGTGCAAAGCCCGGGGCTGAGCGAGCTGGGGACTCACACCCCCTCCCACAGAGGCAGTGGCTGAGGCTTCCTAGGAGCGTGCATTCCCCAGGCTTCTCCTGTGACGTGCACGGCCGGGACAATCAACCTCGTTCTGGAAAAATCCATTCAGGCACAGGGTTGCAGCTGCCGGCCATTGGAAGTGGGGTGGGGCACCCCGCAAGGTGTACCACATCTGCATTGGGCTCCCCAGCACCATAGAGATGCCCACGGGGTCGGAGCACTCGCAACTGAAACAGCGCACTTCCTAGGCTTCCGGAAGTTGTAAGCTAGTGTCGTGGAACTTTGCCAGGGTTCTGGCGAGAACCAGTGACACACACCTCCCGGCCTTATGGGAGTGGGGCAAGGCCAGTATCGTAAATGGGCCAGGGGGCCAGGGGGCCAGGGGTGGGGCAGTAGGGAGCAGGGAAGACTGTGGGAAAACGGGCCTCCTCCAGGGAGAGCAGGCAGCTCGCCGCAGCAGTCGATGGTTCCCGGGTGGTAGTGAGGGCCCGTGCAGCCAGGTCTTCTACTTCTCAAGAAAAGCCGGAAATCCACATTTTTATGTGAAATCTCATGACTTTGGCAGCTAATTAAAATG